AAGATTTGTCTGGCATGATCTATTTTTGACAAACCCATGTTGGCTTTTAGTAATGACTCTGTTTGCCTCTAGGTGTTCGTTGATTCATTGTTTGATTATCTTTTCCAGGATCTTCCCAGGTATTGAGGTCAGGCTGATAGGTCTGTAATTTCCTGGGTCCATTTTTTTTCCTTTTTTGAGGATGGGAACTACATCAGCTGTTTTCCAGTCCTCTGGTAGTTCCCCTGTGCTCCAGGATCTTTGAAAAATATAGTTCAGTGGTTCAGAGATCACATTTGCTAGTTCCTTGAGAACCTTGGGGTGTAATCCATCTGGTCACTTCCTCCCAGGGTTCCTATGGCTTCAACACCTTCTATCATTTCATCTCTGTTAGTGAGAATTAGATCCAAAATGGCTAATCCCCTAGTTCCCTTCTCTACTTTTTGGGAGACAAAGTTGTCTGCTAGGTTTGCCAGGAACCGGTTTGATCTTCCACTTGGTGCAGAGTTTGTGTCCCATCTGGTAGTAAATCAGCACTTCTGTTAACTGTCAAGAGACACATTTCCCAGGCTTCAATCATTTCCCTGGCTATCTTTATAACTGCATGGCCAGAGATCTTAGTAGCTGTGAAATTAAATATGTGTTCTTGTTAATTCCAAGGTGGGGCTACCAAAGAGTTCAGGTCTTCTTGTCTGACTGCTTGCTTATATTCTTGCAATCTGGTGATTAGCTTCTTCCCTGTTTATCCCACAAAGTCACAAGGACAATACATGCAGGGGATTTGGTAGATTACATTGGAAGTTTCTCCCACCTCCAAGCAATCTTTAAAGTGCATAATTTGTCCTCGTATGGTAGCCTCTGGGCAGTGTGAGATGCCCATTTGCAGATCTTGGAAGTTGTGTTCTACTGTTCCAAAAATGTTTTTGATGAATGGCAGGGTGTGCCCGATAGAAGGTGTTCCCTGAAGATGGGTTCCAGCAGCATGAGTTCCGAAAGTTTGGAAGAGTAAATCTCTGGTCCTGGTGACTGACTCAGGTTCAACTTTGCATCATTATCCTGGGATATGGAAATATTTGCCTTCATTCGTACCAATAATTTAACTATCTTCCTTTGAAGACTTTGAAGACAATGAAGATTTATCCATACAAATTTGTATTCTAAGCCTTGATGTCAGAAGAACCAGCACATTTCATAAAGGAGCAACCAGATGGAGAGATCCAACTACAATGAAGACATTAGATGTGATTGCTAACTATGAAATTAAAAAAAATGATAACACAAATAGTTACATTTTGATGCAAACCCAGTTTTGTACTCTTATTTGAAAGGCTAACATTTTACCTCTTCTGTATAGGCCTGAGTTTATATTCAGTAGTCCTAGTTTTTGAAATTGCAATGCTTGACCACTCATACTATCTCAATTATTGTTACTGTCTGTGAGCAACAGGAGAACTTTTCTTCTTTCATGAAAGGCTGACTACATTCTTCCCAAAACTGCTTTATTGTCCATTCTTTCCATCAGCTCGAGGACATGATTGAAAGATACACAATTTACTTGTATGTCCATCCAGTGTTACCTCTGTTTGTTTTAGATTCAAATATTTGCATCTTCAATTAATTTTAAACTCTAAAAATCTTGCTACAAAATTGCATAGACTTTTGCAGATTGACTCAAAGAGATACATAGAGAGATATGGTGGTGATGGGCAGGATGACATCAGCAACAGATTGACAACATTAACAAAAGAATAAAAAGCAAGTGATACCTCTCAAAAGCTAAGCTGAGAGTATACATACATGAAATAATATTTTATAACCATTTTTGTCATATTAACAACACTACAGATCTTAATAAGTCACAACTCTACACAGAAATGACACATCCTCTTCTATTCACCATTTAGGTTTATTACACATTACCTATATTGATTTAAATGATATACTATATATTTTCACCTCATATATTGTAATATTTTAGATTTACACTTGCACAGCTAATTAATGCACCTTTATATAGTTAATCCTTGAGTTACAATCATTCATTTAATGACTGTTCAAAGTTACAATGCTACTGAAAAAAATGACTTATGACCATTTTTTCCACACTTATAACTGTTGCAGCATTCCCATGGTCATGTGATCAAAATTCAGAGGATTGGTAACTGAGTCATATTTATGATGGTTGCAGAGATCCAGGGTAATGTGATCACCTTTTGCAACCTTCTTACAAGCAAAGTCAATGCTAAAGCCAGATTCCTACCAAACTACAATTGTTGCCATAGGTTGAGGACTATCTATAGTAATGTATATTACATATATTCTCATTGTTATACAGGTAGTCTTTGACTTACAACAGTTCATTTAGTGACCGTTCAAAGTTACAACACTGAAAAGAGTGACTTCTGACCATTTTTCACACTTACAATAGTTGCAACATCCCCATTCTCATGTGATTAAAATCCAGGTGCTTGGCAAGTGGCTTGTATTTATGGCAGTTGCACTGTTCCAGGTTTATGTAATCACCTTTTGTGACTTTCTGACAAACAAAGTCAGGGGAAGCCAGATTCACTTAACAACCATGCTACTAAAATAACAACTGCAGTGATTCACTTAACAAGTGTCTCGCTTAACAACAAAATTTGGGCTTAATTGTGGTTGTAAATCGAGGATTACCTGTATTGGAATATTGTCACATTCATTTGAGTTTATTTTTGTACTGTAGAGTTTCATTTCAACAATATTTCATATATGACAATAGGTTTAATTGTTTAATAGATTGCTATTTCAAAACATTTGGATGCAGAAATATTTATTAAACAATACATTAGAATATAATTTAATCTCTGTTTCATATAATATTTAAAATATAACAGATATTGATGACTTTTCATGATCTCTCTCTTTTTCTTTTTCTTCACAATTGTTTAATTGTAAGTACTTTAAATATTGTAAATACATTTATTGAATTAGCTTTCATGAGCCGTTTATTTATTTAATTAATTTATATGGCCTCCCATTTCAGGCAATAATTCTGGTAGCTTGCAATTAATATATATATATAAGTTAAAAATATTTTAAAACAATAAAAACAGTAAAATAAATAAAAACACTAAAATATTCAAATTAACTCTTCATAGGAACAAGATACTGTTCATAGGAACAATATAGGAGCAAGTTAGCAATATAGAGAGGAATGGGACCCTTAATACATCAGCATCCAAGTTTCAGAAACATACCCAAGTTTTTAGTGCTGTCATGGAAGCTTCAGTTTCTGAAATAGAGGACTATTCCTGGGAAGATGAGAACATCACCAGAAACTTGAATTGCATTCAGAAGCACAGTGGTAACCAGGGCAGCTCATGTAGGAGTTGTGTTTATGTGTATCTGGCAAATTTAATATGTACATATTGCATTCTGCACCAATTGGAGTTTCCAAAGAGTTCTCAAGGGCAAGCCAATTTAGAGTGTGTGACAGTAGTCTAACCTAAAGGTTACAAAGACATAAGTTATTGTGAGCAGGGCCTTTTGGTCCAGATATGGGCATAACTGGCATACCAGCCAAAGATATGCAAAGGCCCTCCTAGCCCAGGAGGAACCTGAGATAGTGCACTGGGTCTGTCTGGGGCACCTCAACCCTATCCAGGACCAGAGGTGAAAGAACTTTGTCTTTAGAGGTTTCAAATACCCATAGCAACTCCATCTTGTTACGGTTGAATTGGAGTTGTTTGATGCTCTAGCCAAAGCAACAGATTTCATTTCAATAACTGTAAGCCACCCAGAATTATTCTATGATAAGATGGGCAGCCAATAAATTTAATTAATTAATTAATTAATTAATTAATTAATTAATTAATTAATTAATTAATTAATTAATTAATTAATTAATTAATTAATTAATTAATTAATTAATTAATTAATTAATTAATTAATATAATATTTATTCTTTATTCTCTTCCTCCTCTCTATATTAGGAATTCTAGCTACGGATGTCAAGAGCTTATCTATATTTTAGATATATTTTCATTGGTTCCTATTGTTAGCATTACAGCCACATTAGTAAATGTTTTTAGATTTCCTGGAGAAAAGATAATAAATTAATATTCTTCTCATTCAGAATATCTTGCCTTTCATAAATAAGAATTTTATCTTAGAAAGAAATATGTTGTATATAAGTACAGAACTGTCTCTGCAGAGAAGACAGATTGAAACTCTTGCTCATATATTACATACTGTGTATATTCAAACACAGGTATCACTTACTGTCACTTACCTGTCTGGTTAGAAATCATGTCTTTTGAACATGGAATACAATCATAACAACATATTGGTTTTCCTTCCTGAAGTATCTTGCTTTGTCCAACATGGCAATTTTCAACACACAATGAATGGGGAGGTACCTAGTTTTATAAAATATGTAGTAAGCATCATTATTACACCACTCAGTGATAATTATATTTTATTTTGATATTTTTATTTTCTTTTTTTCCACCATACACCATACACCAAAACAGACTTAAAATACATAAACAAAAAATCTTTTCTTTTAACAGAACAGTTATAATTATCAGTGATAATTATGATGTTGATGATTATGATAATTGTTATTGCTAGTAATAATCTACCTTGAATTTCATCCAATGTCTTACTGCATATGGAACTCAAAATCAGTTTTCCTACTTGCATTGTACAGAACACTTCCCTATTTGTTCTATAATACTATAATTGAATGCAGGAAGAATTTTACCCATGAAATGTCTGCAAAAAACAACAACAATTAGGCTCAAAGAGCACCAAGGAAGCCATGAGCTACAAACATTCTTCTTTATCCATTTCACCACTCTATAATGATCAGAAAGCACCAAGCACTTGGTGGTTAACAGCACAACAGAACCCATTCATCACTGTTATTTAAACTTACTGTTACTTATTTTTTTTTACCTGCTTTAATCTTGTATTCCACTGAATAGCATTTTCAGATATAGTGAATTCTTCCCTTGGTGAAAGCTTTCCCACTTTCATTTTAGAATATGTTTGATTGGAGAAAGTGATCCAATTGATGAGATCCAAGCCAGCAAAGAATTCCCCAGAGGCAAATGAGATTTCATGGCCAGCACTATTGTTAAACCTGACATTTTTAAGGAAACTTTGAATCTAGAATGGAAGAAAAATAAATGAATGGAATATATTATTCTAACATAATGTTTAAATGAATTATTTTTTGCCTACTATAGTGTGGCAAATTAGCATCTGTCTGAATTAACTGTTGATTACCATTTCTAGAAGAATAAGAATATTCTACAATATTTTAGAACAGAATAAGTTTATCTTATTATATGTATGTGTGATTTTATTCCTTTTGTGAATTGAATAAAGCCTTTGGTTCTGCATCATAACCAGTGGTGGGATTCATCCGGTTCACACCACTTTGGCAGAACCAGTAGCTAATTTTTTGCCCAGGCCCAGAATGGACTTCCAGAAATGGCATCCACACAGAGAACCGGTTGTTCACATATCTGTATCCCAGCACTGATCATAACCATCAATTGTCCAAGATTCCCAAATCTCATCATTGGTCAGGTAAAAGTGGCAGAAATTTATCAGTAGATGTTTTCAATCACTGGAGGCATTTTATTTTTCCCTACCATGACTGAATCATTTTTAGACTAGGTTTGGTTCTCTGCAGGAGCAATTGCCGTTGTACATCTACTACCTTTGTCTGCCCTTGAATACATTTTTGAAGTTTTCTACAAAAAGAACTAGAACTAAGATTCTAGAAGAACTAAGAATTGTAAAACTTGCTCTGTAGAGCAGTTATACTGATCTTCTAACCACGCTACTGAACAGTTTCTTCTACCCTCATTATTGGTTGTTTCTGAGATTTCCCCCCCCCCCCCAATGTATGGTTGTGTAATCCTTTTCATGGCTTGTGTTGTTTGTCCTGTAAAGAATTGAGTGTTCAAGTACTTTTTGATAAAGTTGCATGGACATTCCTTTTATTGGAAGATATACTGGTTATCTGTTTCCTTTCCTTGATATTCAGAGTTGCTGCAGTATGTTTGTGCTTGTCTAAATAGTTTTCTTACACAGCTTCTCTTCTGTGAGGTTGGGTAGTGGTACTTTTGGTTATTGTGGATGGTTTTATAATACTTGTGTTTCTAATTTGCTATTGTTGTCTCTGCTAATGAGGATATCTAGAAATGTTAGTATGATGTTGTTTTCTTCTTTCCTAGCGAATTATGTTCTTCTGAAATTGTTCATAGGTTTATGTGTCTTTTCTAGTTCTTCCTTTTTAATTATGCTGAAGGCTTTGTCTACATATTGGATTCATAATTTAGACTGTATGTTTGGGACCTTCTAGGGGTCGCATTACAGTCTCTGCTATGAATTCTGAGAGTAGTAATCCTATGGATGTTCCTCTGATTTATTGGTGTATTTTTTGAACAAAATCAGTGATGGTAAGGCAATCATTTATGAGGACCATGCTTCTGAGTATATTCAATTGCAGTATATTTGGTTAGGTCAGGAGTGTTGTGTAGTAGTGCTTTTTATTTTTTTATTTAT